AGCCCTTGCTGCCCCCAGGCTGTGCCAACGGCAGGTCATGCTGGCTGGGAGGGACAGCAGTATCAGGCTAGAGCTGGTGCACGACAGCCGGGCGGGTCTGGCAGAACCCTCAGTGTCAGGGCCCCTCCTTGCTGGCCCTCCTGCAGGCCAGCCCTGGGACCTGGCCACTGTTTGGTCCTGTATTTTTTTTTTCACTCATTGTAGTGATCATGAGACGTTCGGTCAGAGGGCATCTGCACTCTGATGTTAAGGTAGAACTAATTTGCTGAAACCAGGCCTCTCCTAAAAGGATAAGAAACTCATTGTTTGACCCACCTGGACCGAGGGTGGGGCAGAGAACAGTGCTGACCCGAGTTCTGTAGCCTCAGGATTTGTCCTGTGTTGCAGGCCACCATCCGCCTTGGGATGCTCCTGGAAGTAACTTAGGAAATGAGTTGCTTTTCCCCAGAATGACCAAGAGCCCAGTTTAAATCACCCAGCCAGGCCTGGCATGTGTCAGTGCGTCCCTGTAGGTGTCTGCCAGTTACAGCATCTTGTTGATCTTTTTCTAGAGACATGAAGCCCCCCGGGGCCAGGGGAGCATGGGAAAGACGGGCAGGTCTTTGCAGAATTTGTTAAAACTAGATGGGTTGTGATGGTGGTGGGGACTGCCTGTGCCTGACCTGAGGGCAGGACCCCTCCAGAGTTTGCTGTGGTTGCTTCCAGGCCTCGGCTTCATTCAAGACAGGTCCCGGTGTGCTTCCCTCTTCCTGTGTGGTCTGTTTCCCTGGTGAGCAGAGTTGTTGAGTCTGTAGAGGCACCCCATTTACGTGCTAAGTGGGGGGGCGACCCTGTGCCTTACTCCAGGGCCACCCAGAGCTGGGGCATTTGTGTGGCCAGTGCTGGTGTCAGATGGCAGCAAGTACATGTGTCCCAGGGGTGTTGCGCACAAGCAACCCCGTCCATTCTGCCAAGGGCAGGGCTGGCTGGATGGGTAGCCAGAGAAGTGGGAGCCCTGAGGATCTGGCAGCACTGACATGACCTGTGGGAAGCTTGTGCCAGGCACTGGCAGGTGTCCGACCGAAGCTGCTGGTGTGTAGGTTTCTGTCCCGCTCAGTGAGGTGTCTCGTCTCGTCTCCCTTTTGGCTTTATCATCTTTTCAAACTGCTTTAGATGTTACCACTCAGTGTGTGAGCCTTCCTCGCTGTCCGATCAGTCAGCGCAGCCGCACCCGCGGGGACCTGTTAGAGGAAGCATACAGAAGTGGCTGTGGTTGGGGCAGACGGCATCTCCATGCTGTCGGCCACTGGGCTTCTTCACCAGGCTCCTGCTCGGGGTCAGGCCCTGCTAGGACCACCCTCCGTTCTAACGTGGGCAATCTGTGCCAGATGAGCTGAGGCCTGAGGAGCCCACACTGGTGCTGCCGGCAGTCTGGCGAGATGCTCCACCTCCTCCACACCAGGCTCTCGGGAGGGGCCTGGGCAGACGGGGGTGGGGTGGGGGTCTGTCTGTCCTTCCCATGCTCTCAGCACGTCCTTCTAGGGGCTGGTGTGACAGGTGTAAAACAAGTGACTGATCTTATTCCTTTCTCGTGTTCTGAGCCATGAACCCAGGTGACACAGGACTGGCCTGTTTGTTCGTTCCTTTGGTTGTGACTCTTCCTCCTGTGAAATTGGCGAAGCTACATGTTCACCGTCCTGACTGGCACGTTGGCACTGTCTGGGCTGCAGGTGTGGGCAGTGGGGGTGTCTCCATGTGTACATATGTGTATATGTATATATCATGCAGCAGGTGTGATTGCTGCTGTTCAGTGGCAAAGCAGCAAGTACAATAAAAGCTGGCTTCAAAGCAGCGTCTGTTTCTTGGCGAGTCGGGGCAGGAGGAGGGTCCCAGGAGCTCCTTTGCTGGGTGCACAGGAGATGCCACTGACACTGCCATGTACCCCGAGTTTGTGTGGATGGCTGGCGTGGCACCTGAGCACACTGGGGGGGCCATTGTCAGCTTCTCCAGGGTAGGGTGCCCATCCCTGGGGGCCCTCCCATCACAATCACCTCAACTACAGGTGAGTGTCCCTGTGTGACATTTGGGAGGTGGTAGAAACCCTTTCCACTTTGGAACATTTAAAACCAACTTTCTAAGCATCAAATACAATCAATGACCAAACTGCATTCTACACAGTCTCTGCTGGGATCACAGGTCAGCCTGGGGGGTCGTGGGGAGGGGCAGTGCTCCAGGAAGGGCAGCCAGGCTGCAGGCACACCTTTGTAGGTTTTGTTTCCCTGGAAAATAGGTTCGTTTCATACTAAATGAGGGGAGGCACTTTGTACTGAAATATATTTATGTTGTTTTTTAAAACTAAGTGCGACGCATGGAAGGCATTGTCCACACTGGTCTTGTCCTGTGAGTGGACCTGGTGGAGCTGGGTGCCTTGGGCCCTGACTCCCACGTGCACACCTGAGGGCCAGGCTGCAGGGTTATGATGGTTTCCCACGGTGATCTCCATCTTGTATGTCTGAATGTTGACCTAAAATAAAGATAACTTGTAAAATAAATGTTTTCACTGCAGACCAGGTGTGTCTTACTTAATGGTCCCTGCAGAATCCTGTTGGGGGATCTTGCACTGAGGGCCCAGCTGACCTTGGGGACTCCTCAGTCCCCTAGGGGTGGGGAAGTCACTCCCACCTGCCTTGTCCAAGTGTGGATGGATGTCCCTCCCCTCCGTTTTCTAAATACTGTAACTGGAGTGAAGGAACTGAGACTGTGAGATCCTTGAGCCAAGGGCAGTTGGGACTGGGTTCTGCAGCCCTCTGGGGACATGTCCAGGCAAGCCAGTGGCTGCAAGCCGCTGTCCATCCTATTTCCACACCCCACCCCACCCTCAAGACAGCACCACCCTCCTTCCTGGTGCCCATTAGTGAAGGTCCAGCTGGATGAGCCTGCTGCCAGTGTCTGGAATGGTAGGGAGAGGTGACCTGGTTGACAGTGGTGGCTGCTCACAGCTGGGCCTGTGCTCTGTGCTGGCCTTTGGGAAGCTCCATCTTTGGTACTGGCCATTCAGAGGCCTACCCCACTGGGGCATTGTTGTGGCACAAACTCAGGTCTTCATGCCGGGACACGACTGTCCCTCTTGGGTCGTCTCCAAGCCAATAGTGACCCAGTACACCTTGGCCAAGGACATCTCCTGGGTAAGGCCCATCCTCCCACCATGTTGATAATGGCAGGAGGAGGTGTCCCTAGACTGGGGTGTCCAACCCAGACTTAACCTTCATGCCTGTTTCCTTGCCCCTGAGATAAGCATTCACCTCGGGCTCCTGCAGGAGGTGCCAGCTCTGCTTCCTTGAATGTGTATCTGGCCATGTGTTCTCTTCTGCACACATTGGGCCCTGTATTAGGTGGAAGAGGCCACCCTGGCTCAGAAGGCCCGTGGGTTGTGAACAGCAGCTGTCTTTTGCTGGGGGTGCAGGGTCTTTCTCTGTGCCCTTGGTCTTAGCTCAGGGCAAGGCAGAAACATTCTGAAAAAATTAAAGCAGCATAGGCCCTGGCCAGGTACTCAGTTGGTTAGAGCATCGTCCTGATGTGCCAAGGTTGTAGTTTTGATCCCCAATTAGTGCACATACAAGAAGTAACCAATGAATGTATACAATAAGTGGAACAGCCCAGCTGGTGTGGTTCAATGGTTGAGTGTCAAGCTATGAACCAGGAGATCACAGTTGGATTCCCAGTCAGGGCACCTGCCTGTGTTTCCAGCTTGATCCCC